ACTAGAATCCCTCCACTCCACCACAGAGTCACCGCAGTAGACGTTAGATGAGCGCTGTCGCTATGCGGCACTTGTTTTGTCCTAATATTGAAACAACCAACATTTTTTAAATAATGACAGCAGACAAAAGCGTCTCGTTCCAGAAGGAATTGTTATGTGCTATTGGTTTCTCTGTGTCTGCAGTGGTTTGTGCTATCAAATTCTAAAGCTGTTGTTCGTGTTTAGCACTGAGTTATCCTTCCTGCTGACATTTTGTGTTTATGTTCGTTAGACAAGTGAGCAGCTGTACAATGCGATGGAGAAACTGGCAGCCGAGAGCTCGCAAGGCTCTTACTCACCGAAACGCCTTCAACCGCAAAGTTCCTCCTACGTGCCTGCGTAAGCACACCTCCTTCTCCCAGTTTCTTTATGTGGCTATTATGCACGAGTCCAAGTTTCTAGAGTTCGTGTTTATAGTCATCTTTGATTTTCAGATGACATTGTGACATCTTGTCATGTAGATCGATAGCGGATCTAATCAGGCGGATAAATAGCCGTTTAATCGGAGGGTTCATTGCTGTGCTTTGGCTTTAATTTGAACCAGATACGAATTTTTACGCGAGTTGCTGATAGTTTTATTTATTGAAACACAGACTGAAACTGCTGTATGAGTTTAGCTGATGTGTATTAGAAATAATAATTAAACGGCTATGAATTACCTTATTCCATCTTTCGTCTTTCAGGTCTCCACTTGGAGTGGATTTAAGCATGACAAACAAGTCCTCACACACAGGTAGATCTCTGCTGCATCATTACATACATCATCACTACGTACTACCATGTTCAATTTCGCATTAGATCCTTCTTTGCATTTGAAAATTAGCCGGTTGCTCGTGCATGCATGGGCTAAGGCTAATGCATTTTGTGCGATGTTCGTAATTTTTTCGACTGCTTTCAGATAAGTCGGACATGAATGGACCACCGGACGATGAACAGGTAAGTGATATCCTGCTTGGTTCGGAATCTTGCTAGTGTGTGTCGCCTCTTGCTCGTAGCAATTGTAGGGAAGCGACACTGCATCCCACACGTACACGCGAGGATTGAACCGCTAAGATAGTCGGGTGTTGGTTGATATACGTGGCAGCTGTTGCAGTTGCGAATGCGACCGTACTGCTGTTTACCAGCTGATGCCCCCCCCCCATCACCCCTTCCAAGACACAGTTATTTGTGCATTAATACAGTCATAATTAGCATTGTAGCGTACGTTTTGTAAACGAATGCCCGGATCTGCGTTAAACAGTTTCGAGTTAACAGAGGGAGCGGCATGATTTAGCTGTTGCACAGTTTGAGTTGTTGATAGCGCAGTGATTTTTAAGCCTATGATTTCCGACGTGGTTCAATCCTCGCTTGCTGTGCTCGCTAGTGTCGTGCTTTGCTTGCTGTCTGAATTAATGCAAGCTTATGCCATTCACAGTGTTGCAAATCGCACGTAGATAAAAATTGTAGTGGCAACAGCCTATGTTTCCAAACATAGTAAACACTGCTGGTTGATGTTGCAGCTATTGTATTGAAGATGTAATTCTGTATGGACGTTGGGGGTGGTGGTAAAGTTTGGTGATGTAACTATGGGCTGGCTTTCCGGTTATAATGGGGTTATATACGAGAGGTGTGGTTTCATCTTTGGAAACATGGTGTTGTGCATGATATGTCTACTGCCCATAATGCTACTTGTAATATGAGTGTGTTTGCCTTAACTGTTGATAGTTATTAGTATGCTAAATTAATTGCTATTAATTGGTGTTCGTTTTGATATGATTTCATGTTTTGCGCACTAATTTAGGGTTGTTTTGGGATCGCCCGTCTCCCACTCTTGTGATAGCCCATTCCCTTGTGACGAGATTGTCACAGAGATTGATCAGTCTGATACAGAAAGATATCATGTTTTTTTAATGAATTGTGCTGATGAAAACCCATAAATACGCGAGAGGTAATGTGTGTGAGTGTGTGAGTGTGTGAGTGAGTGAGTGAGTGAGTGAGTCAGTGAGTGAGCGTGTGCGTGTGCGTGTGTGTGTGCGTGTGCGTGTGCGTGTGCGTGTGAGTGAGTGAGTGAGTGAGTGAGTGAGTGAGTGAGTGCGTGAGTGAGTGGTGATTGAGTGAGTGCGTGAGTGGAGTGCATGTGTAAGTACGTGTGTGAGTGAGTGAGTGCAGTGCATGCGTAAGTGCGTGCGTGAGTGAGTGAGTGTGTGCATGCGTGAGTGAGTGAGTGAGTGAGTGAGTGAGTGCATGTGTGAGTGAGTGAGTGCAGTGCATGCATAAGTGCGTGCGTGAGTGTGAGCGTGAGTGAGCGAGTGTGTAAGTGTGTGCATGCGTGCAGGGGTTGAAATAAGCGATGGTCCGATGGTCCGGGGCCATCAAATAATCAGGAGGACCATCAGGTTTTCAAAGTCAATAGTCCAACGGACCATTGAATATTTTGGTCCCATTTTACGGTAATTTTCTTTGAGGTTTCCACGTTCCAATATACTATTAAAGTGAATAAACAATTACTGTATCGTTTGATACATTCATTGTAGGTGCATAATTAAACCATTTCATCACCATGTAAAATCTCTTTCTTACGCTTGCACGCCGCATTACTTTTAGAGAACAATTTGAAATTTAGGAGGACTATCTGAAAATTTAGGAGGACCATCTAAATTTCAAACTAGATTGTCCTGTGGACCATCTCTTTTTTCTCCTTATTTCTACTCCTGTGCATGCGTGAATGATTGGGAAGCTACGGGTCTATCGGCAGCAGAAGCGTAACGCTGTAGGAGCGGATAGGCATTCGTCATACCGAATGTCATCTTTTTAAATAAAAACATTAAAGGATAGCCTCCGTACTCTACGGTGGATACTAGTTTGCGCGGGGGTCGGGCGATCCAGGTTTATCGCCTCTGTCATGTCGTGTGTCTACGTTGCCCGTGTTGTGTGTGGTCACTGTGTGTGCATGATCGTACCCCTCAGGCCTCGCTGCCAGATGACGACGAGCTTGGAGGCTCATCGAAGCGAGAGAGCCTCGTTGAGTCCGTCACGGCCGCACTGGCCGCCACCAATGTGAGTCCGACCCGCCATCCTTACCGCAGGGGTAGAAATTAACTTTTGAACACGGGAGTCCAACGGACTCCCTACACTCAAAAAGAGGGAGTCCGCAGTCGTGAGGTTCAAAATTAAAGATATTAACAATAACGCATGTGCTTATTTTTAAGATTCATGCGGTTGCACGTCTGCCAAATTTTCTTTGGACATTAGCTGAAAAAATACGGTAGTTCCATGAGGCTGTGCTCCGGAACGAACTAGTTAGTATAGCAGAATTTTCAGGGAGTCACACGGACTCCTGCATATGTCAAATCAGGGAGTCCGCTCTGGAATGAACTAGTTAGTATAGCAGAATTTTCAGGGAGTCACACGGACTCCTGCATATGTCAAATCAGGGAGTACGACAGTAAATCAGGGAGTATTTGACTCCGGACTCCCGTTAATTTCGCACCCTGCAGTCACCTCACCTTACCGCACTCACCGCAGCACCGTAGTTCTGCAGCCCGTCGGCACTCTACCCTTGCAGCACCTCCGCCGCCCTGGCCACGCACGCTCGTCTAGTAGTGCGCTCTCTTCTAACGACTAACCTAAATGCTAACCTGAGCGTCTTGCATGCGGTCGTGTAGTTGTCGCGCGGATGTCGCTGTGTTGTGCTCGCTTGTCATTTGCGGCAGGATACTGTGCGGTGTGCGTGCGTGCGTGCGTGCGTGCGTGCGTGCTTGTGCGTGCGTGCGTGCGTGCGTGCGTGCGTGCGTGCGTGCGTGCTGGTTGTTTGTCGTAGTGTGAGTCCGTGTTATGTCGTTGGATGGAGCTGATAACATTTGGTGGTGAGAATCTTCTGACGGGTGATGAGGATTGGTGCTCTGTTTCTTTAATGCATTGATAACAGGTCAGCATGCGCGCTAGGGCAGTACAGTGCTAGCAATCAACTGCCATCACTGTTTGCTCATTGTTGGAATTGACAGCCCAGCCTCCATTTCGGGACTGATAACTATTGAGCAAAATGGGGCACATAGTTACTATCGGTTGTAGAAATCAATACATAGTTACTATCGGTTGTAGAGATCAATATTTTTGGAGGAATCAGGATTAGCATGGTCTTTGTTTCTAAGACTGGCATGAAAATAATTTTATAAAATCCATGTGAAACTGTCCAGTGGGTGCTTAACTGTACTAGAGTGTGTGTTGACCTGGTTGGGTAAGCGGTTGGTTGATTAGGAAGTGACAAAAACAATAACCACTTTTTTAGCATTTCACTTCAGAAATTATAAGGAATTGCAATCACTGTGAGTTGTGTCTTAACAGGGGGCGCCACTTGACATTACGGTAGAGAAAAATGTTAACAAAGATGAGGAGAGAGAGAAGAAAGCAGCAGAGAAGCAGCGGGAAAAGGAAAAGGAGAAAGAGAGAGAAAGGGAGAAGCGTAAGGAGAAGGAACGAGTCAAGGAGGAGGAAAAAAGAAAGACGAGAGAGAAAGAACAACAGTTGGAAATGGAGGCAGAGCGAACGAGGCAGATAGAGAAAGAGAGGGAGGAAGAGCGAAAAAGAGAGAGGGACGAAGAGCAAAAGAGGGAGAGGGAGAAGGAAATTGAAAAGGAAAATGCAAACGCAAAAGATGTTCAGGCGTCTAAGGAAAAGATAGACGCTGATAAAGATGTACAGGACGAGAACGTGGTTGCTGCGGCGGCGGACACTGATGCTGATGCGCCACCTGGTGGCTACCTGTACAAGGTATCATTTATGTCATTTGTCTGCAGCTTCATTGTGTGACCGTGAATGATGATTTGCATGAGCCTCTCTAGGGTTCTTCATACCAACAATTAATGTAACTCAAAATAAGCACACAACATAAATCTTGTAGTGCATTCTTACTATTTATTCGAGTAATAAGGTAAAGAATTAAAATTATAGTTTAATGATTTTTTATTTTGCCGGCTACACCGACCTATGATGTACGCGACGTCGAGAGTTTGATGACGCGACTCGCGTAATTCGCGGAATCCTTCCCTCAATGTGTGGGTTTTCACACGCGTGTGTCTCTCCCCAGGTCCACGCCACGCATACTTACACGGGAGAGGACGAAGACGAGCTGACGTTTGAAGCCGGCGAGACTGTTTACGTAGTGGATCATGATGATCCGGAGGAGCAGGTATGTAGTAGGTGCTATCCGTCTTATATGCCAGCGTCGCTCAGTTCAGTCACGTAGTACAGCAACATGGCTGCTCTTCACGATTGTCTGTTCGTAAACGCTTTGGCTTAAATTTCGATAGTCGTCCATTACTTTCTAATGTTCTTTTTACTTGTATATTTGTTCGAAATCGGAAGCGGTGGGCATTGTTGGGTATTTTACTTTTGTTTTGTTACTTTTTACTGTAAAAATTGTGTTATATTTAAATAGATTTTTATGTAGGGCCTATCGGGTATAGCATGCTCTAACATAAATAAGTCCTGTAATAATTTTTTTCCTGTGGTTTTAGGATGATGGATGGCTGATGGGAATCAACAAATCTAACTGCAGGAAAGGCGTCTTTCCGGAGAATTTCACCAAGCGGATTTAGGTATATTCGCGTGAAAGATGGTGCCACCATTGGTCTCAATTGCGAATATAGCGTGTGCTTGACGCTAAAAGTGACAGGACAGCATTTGTACGTGCAGAGTGCATTTTGTAGGTCACACCGCAGAGCTGTGTCCACACTTGATCGTTTAATCGGTGTGTCTTGTTGGGTAGAAGGTGATACTAAAATGCTTCCCCTGCCGAGTGTGCCTTGTCAAGTTTTGTTGACATTCCTTGATGCAAGATCGTGGGTATTTTATATATCTTTATATAAATTCTATACATATGTAATCATTTTGAAAAGAAAAGAAAGGAAAAGTTGGTATAATATAACGAGTGCATAGCCGATATGTCTATTATCATGATGATTTGTCTATATATCTCTAAATGATTAGTAACATGGAGTGAGGTGTAATATATTTGTGAGCATCATTGCACCCAAATCAACATCACCCACATTAGAGCAATAGCATCAGAACTAGATAATAGGGAAGGAGTGTGACTTCAATAAACAAGGGAAATTCGTCATTTACTAGCCTTAGAATACCTACGATTTACTACGCGTAACTCAACCAACTTGAGCTCAAATCGTACACGGTACATTCGCCTAGCATCGTGCGAAATCGTTTCCTCGTATACACCCGCAATCCGGAGATACAGACTAAAACGTACGACACGATTATCCATTCTGTTGCCAGCAAACCGAATGTATAACCTGCCTAGCTTGAAACAAAAGGCAGCTACTAACGATTCTTGCGCACTCTTGTGCCCTTGGCGATGCGGTGTGGCTCGCTGGGAGATTGGACATCGACGCAACACTCGGCGAGCTAATCTTTGACCTATTTACAGCTGGTATGCCCCCCCCCTGCACGCACGCCCACCACAATCAGCAGCAGCTCTTGCTCCAATCTCCCAGCGAGCCACACCGCATCGCCGATGGCACAAGAGTGTGCAAGAGTCGTTAGTAGCTGCCTTTTGTTTCAAGTTAGGCAGGTTATACATTCGGTTTGCTGGCAACAGAATGGAGAATCGTGTCGTACGTTTTAGTCTGTATCTCCGGATTGCGGGTGTATACGAGGAAACGATGCTAGGCGAATGTACTTTGCACGATTTGAGCTCAAGTTGGTTGAGTTACGCGTAGTAAATCGTAGGTATTCTAAGGCTAGTAAATGACGAATTTCCCTTGTTATTGAAGTCGTACTCTTTCCCTATTATCTACTTCTGATAGCACTGATAGAACTGGCATCTTAATAAAAAATTTTATTATTAAGTTTGCAACTATGAACCTGTGCCTTGGCTGTATGCGGTTTTGTCATTTCTGCCAGGATAAATGATTCTGGTGTGCCAAGAAGGGCATGCAGGTGACTGTTCTTGCTGTGTATCCTACACGTTTTGCACCAGTTTTCACTTTCTTTGCTGGGCTGGCAATGAATTTCTCTATTTTATTGGGCAAAATTTCTCTGCGGGAATTGCCACGTATAGCCGCTAGGGCTAGCAGCTAATGATCCTGATGCAAACCGCACATTGTCATTATGGTGAATGTTTGGTGCTACTCTAGCTTATCCTGTCTGTTTTCTTTGAGCAATACTATGATAGCTGCACAGCTATTAAAAGTGCACGATGCCTTAATTACGTGAATTCTGTACATTTCTTCTTACCACGATGTTTTAGACCAGGGAATCCGCATCCCTCGGTGATGACCCACATATGTATCACCAAGGGTCTCCCGTGACTATCATATCCTTTGTTGATATGTGGTAGCATCTATACTAGGGATGCCGAGCTATGACCCGCACTACTTTAGCTGAGAGGGTCTATGTCCCCCGGGGTACTGCCGGAACGTACCCTGGTACTATCTAATATGCCGGACCGTACCTCGCCTACTCCACTAACGAGTCTAAGGAGTCGCCTACGCCTACTCCCTAACCCTAACCCTAACCCTAACCCTAAACCTAACCCTAACCCTAACCCTAATCCTAACCTTAACCATATCAAATAGTGACCACGTTCCGGCAGTACCCTGGGGGACATAGACCCTATGAGTGCTACGTTAGGTAGAATCTCAAAAATGTTGTCTGCTGCTTGATGCTTACACTCCTGTTACGATAACTACATGTCCAGATAAATGAGTTTGTTATTTATTTAATTGTTTGATTTTAAAATCATGTTATCTGGGGTTGTGGCAATTTAAATGTCATTTTAGAGTGTCGGCTTGTTGTGAAGAATAGGATTAACAGCGATCGGTTGTGGGCGGGCTTTTTTGGTGCACTCATTAACATGTTGTATTTTGTAATTCTATTTATATTGAACTCGTGGAAATCATGTTAGTCTTGCCGCATTTCTAAGTATTTCTATACGTGTCACATTCCGTTTCCATTATATTCTACTAGCATTCCCATTTAAATATATTTTGTTATTATTGCCGTTATTTAATGCTGTACTCGCTTGCAGTTTCCCTCGGTAACTATCACAATCACTTTACGCGAGCACGTACGTTTGGCGCAAACAGGCGTTTTATACGTGCACATCACGCGCAAGCTCATTTTGTATGCTCTCCCTCGGGAATTTTCATATCATCTAGATTGTAATCATTATTATAACTTGCTTCTCATTCCATGTAAGGTATAGTTAGCTTGTATTTTTTGGTAAAATCTACTGTGCATGTGTTAGCGCGTGCGAAAAGCGAATGGTTGTGGAGTTGGTTTGGGAACAAACGCAATCAATAATGAAACCGTGGCAGCTTTCTCAACGGTGATGGATTACGCGCATGGAAAATTTGTTACGATGGTGACCGCTGCAAGTGTAGCATGACAGACATCCCCACTATGACGAACACCCCCTATACATATATGGCTATATAGGCGTGTCTAGCAGGTAGCATGGTGCATTTGATTGATGCATGGGAATTTGACCTTTATTTGCCCATGCACAGTGTGTAGGGGAACGCTTGTCATAAGGGGGATGTCTTCTATGCCACAGTAGCTGTCCTTTGTGAAGATGCATTAATTATTATGCTATAGTTGTGCGTTTCACGCGCGTGTCAACGTTAGTGTATGCTTGGAGTAATCATTCTGACTTCTGACAGTCAGAATGATTACTCCAAGGTGTATGACGCCTAGAGAAGTCATCCAAAATTAAAACTTTTCATGACTACGCCACTCGTGTTTTTCCACAGAAAAGGTGTCGTTGTCGTTGGTAAAGCACTTGGTTGTGTTCGCGTGGATGTGTGTACTTTGCGTATGTAGGTGTCAGAGTGAACTCGCGTTGGTCCATCCAGGCACTATTTCACGCGGCTATTGTTTGGGTATTGGAGCAATAAAACCCGTTATACTGAATCCCTTCCGGTTGTTGTGTCAGTCGTCAGCAGCTGTTCAAGCGCAGGTGCGGTAGCGCCATCTGTGTCGGAGCAAGCAGACTAACTTGTTCGCATCGTGTTGCTAATGTATTCAGTAAACAGTATTCGCGGTTATACCTGCTTCCTAACACACTAGTCCTTCTCACCGACCATTGGCCATCTTAGTAAAACGTTTGTGTTATTTTGTGCTTTGATGTCGTAACCTCACAAGTAGCGGTCAGCATTCAGGAAGCACAACTGGTCAGTCCGTTGCACGGAATGCGAACGCGGAAGTGTGATGTGGGAGTGAAAATATCTATTGAAAATCAAGTTAACCAATCGTGGTTTCACCAATGTTACTATACATACACACGCATGCACGCATACACAGATATATATGCATAGAGAGGGAGTTGTGGCGACTCTTTAGGAATGTCCTGGCATTCCAACACTGTTGAGCAATAAAAAATCAATCAATCAGGCAACACATCAATAAGATGGCCAGTATTGCACTATACATTTAGATGTGTATGGCCTTAACGCTACTATTATATATTAGTGTTTTCCAGGCTTGCTAACGCCTCGTATGCAAAGCTATGTCAGACGTACGGGCAGCAACAAACACTGTCTACAGAAGCCCGACCATGCAGGCTCTACGACTGTTTCACACCCCGTAGTGAGAAGCGAGAATGTAACTTGTGGCTATATGCCTAGAGTAGCCGTACAAGTTTGTGTCGACTATATTTCTACTCTCCCATCACCACAACGCTGTAACGCCGAACTACACTCTCTCACTAAAGAACGTGGTAAAATTTAAGATTAAATTCATTAATAATTAAATTTAATTAAGCAATCAATCAGGCGACACATTAAGATTAACTAGTCGAAGACGCCTACGAAGTTGCATCATCTATAAATTTCACAGAAAAGATTATATTTCGTGGGCAATGCACCATTCTTCGCAGCGAAGCGCATTTCCAGGACGCGCACGTGTAGCATATACTGCTATGATACTGTTCGCGGTTGGTCAGGAATCTCGAAGATGAGTGATGCCGGTAGATGCATCAACTTGTGGCTTAAATGCAACTTCTCATTGGCCTTATTGGCTCCGGGGTCGGAGGGATTCCTATAGGGACTGCGTAAAGATATGTTGGCTTTCCTGAAGATGCGTTGACCATAGGACGATCCTGTAATTTTGCGGGTTGCCATCCAGGGCTTGAACCGCGTGGATGAAACTGTGCCTAGTATGTATATAACTAACAGTAACGCATTCTCGAAAATGAACATACGAGCTGGCTAGTAGAGAGCTGTAATTATTAATTTAATTTAATTAATGGTTAAATAATTAAGTTTATATTTCGGTGATTACGAGCTGAATTCAAGCAGAATATGAAGTCACTCTCTGGTCACAAGGCCTACTACAAATGTCGCGTAACAACAACACTTTCCTAATGGCAATGATTTCTACCTCCATTATCACTAACTCTACTAAAACTGCAACTGCTGGGGATGCTGCCTCCATTTATGCCAAAACACTCCTGAAATATAACTAGACTTATCTGAATAAGATTGGCGCTTCGGGGACCACGTTGTGGTTACATGGACATACGAATTTATTTAAGTGCATATACGATAGATATGGATAATCACGGCTATAATTAATGAACTGCCTATTTGTACGACGCAGTGAGCAAGCGCCTGCTAGCAATGAGGTACGTGCGTGTCCAGATAAATATGAATAACTTGTGAAATTTAAATTCAATACCGAAATTACTGGCGTTTACAAGAATGTTTATTCGTGCTCCACGAGACCGACCCATAAATGTTCTACTTGTCCTCAACGAGATCGATGCGCTAAATATCTTGTCGACCCATTTTCTTACTACACAAAATACCGCATAGGCTGTGGCTAGGAGTGGCATTTTTCTCCATGAACGAGAATTGTTGTACATACCCACATACGGCTCGTCTACATTAACCAGAGTTAACACTTGACTCGAGTTAAGAAACACGCATCGTCTACACGGAGTTTGTCTTAACCCGAGTTAAGCTAACGGCAGCTAGCGGGAGGCGAGTAAACGCATGGCTTACTACCACTGGAGTTAACGATTTCGCGCGCGTCTACACGAGTCTTAACCCGGGCGAGATTAAACCCCCCTCATCGCGTGGGGTTACCCGAGCTAAGACCTCGTATAGAATGGATATGAAATAATCAGGATTAGGCCCAGATGGCGAGTTGGTTATGCTGCTACAGCTAAGAGGTTGACACTGCGTAAACGATATCTCGCAACACGCAAATTAAATGCCATGGCGCTGCAAGTTTGCCCCCGATTTCTTGGAAAAGCTACGAAATCAGTTTTTACTCTCTTTTCGAATGGGAGCGACACGGCGGTGCGTTTACCAAGTTAGAATTGGCAATATCGAAAGCTTGCAATATTGCAAGCAAAGTAATGAATTTCGAGCGTTTCTCCCGATGAAACGGAACCAGTTTGATTTCATCAGAGGACTTCCGCATTTGTGACCCAGGTACGTTACAACGTATATATTCACTTCACTTTACTGTCCTCCGAATAGACAAGATAAAATGGCCTTTTCTTAATCCTTCCGATTTTATTACAAAGCCAATAGCCAACGCCCAACTGTCCAGAGAACAAACGCCCCCCTCCCCACCAAACCCAGGAGAAATGAGCTAGCTACGCACTTTTATACACGTGACTCCGTCTTGGGGAAACCTAGAGTAATATTCACTTCATTTGGATCTCCGCTGCATATTAGAATAGACCATGAACTTTGTACCAATGACCTTTGACCATTGCATGCTAGTTTCAACCCTACTTTTAGCCTATCTTTTCCAACTGTCTCCAGCGTACACACCGAATCCAAAAATTACATATACGTACGTCCATTTTACCAGACTATAAATTGCACGTCACTGTGCCAGATGAGCTAAAAACGTCGTGCGACTAAAAATAATTCAAATATGAAATTGGTCATCGATAAACTAGGAGTTTTTTAATAGGGCTGCCGCACGCAAGCCCACGCACGCAGTAGCTTTGTACACGTAGAGGGATTAGCATTGGTCAGAAGCAAGGTTTACTAACGAATTCATTTAAAAGGGTCGATTCACTACTGACAATAAAACTTCATAACAATAAACAAGGAGAACTGTGCCAACGAAAACTATTGTTCAGCACCATTGAGGAGCAAAGACCTGTGTATTAGTAACTTATTAGTTCTTTATTTGTCACACGAGCAAGTGCAATAACAGAAGCGACGATCGGGTATTGGTGAGCCACAACGCCTCTCACCTGCCTCCACTGACAGACGACACACTGCAAAATAGATTCGGCATTGAGTTCTTGTGTTTATCAGATTCATTTCAACAACTCATTGTTTATTCTGAACGAAAGCTTGCACAATCACCACCACATACACATCAAAGTCACGAACGAATTTCAGCCTCTTGTCCGGCACTGCACGAGTTCTTGATCACAAGACGCACCTACAATATAACACTCCTATTTAACCCTTCCTACTTCTTTGGTAAACCTAGTTCGGGTAAAAATTAACCTTTTTTTATTTATTAGCATCAATGACACGCATATCATCTTAGTTCTATGCGACTGAATAGAAATGATGGTTGCTTACTGGTTGTACCGTCTGAAACTGAGCCATACATTCTCGAATGAACATTATTTTACAGTACAGTATAGGCAATAAATATAACTTAGAAATATACAATATTAACATGTGACATTTTCCTTATTACCATACACCCGTTTTCACAAAAGCTTGCTTTATAAATTGGTAGAAAACAACCAAACTAACGTTGACATGTTATTGTATCAAATAACAATCGATAGGCTTAGAGTTGGCTTTACGTATCAATACAACTGATGAATTCTCTGTACACCAGCCAACCTTTGTTCCTGTGAGCATAACGTCAGTTGCATCAAGTTTACACTTAAATAAAAACTAAACAATGCTAGTCAAATAAATTTATCTTTTCAGTGAATACATGTGCAAGTCGATGTGATGTGCTCACCAAACTGTGAACTTTGAAAACCAATATTATCACAAGTAAATACACGCACTGCGATCTATTCATAAAAAACTAACAATGCTTGTCAAATAAACGTCCTTTTCCAGCGAATATATGTGCGAATCGATGTGGTGTGTCCACCTAACTGCACTTTGAAACCTAATCTTATCACAAGTAAACATACGCACTTCGATCTATTCTTCGTGACTTGATGCTTGCAGCAGTGTCAGTGACGTCACAACCTAATCCCAGAGCCAACTGCAAACACTTCTGAACTAGTTACATACAAAGCTGAATGGGGAGAACTGACGCTGTCTCAACACGCTGCTGGTTCTATCTGATAACCACTGCTGTGATTGACATGCAACCAAGATTGAGGTAAGAACGCCAAGATGAGATTGGCTGTCATGTGACGAAGACTGAAATCTGCAGTGCACGTACGTCACCAGCTAAATTCAGCGGCCGACTATCCTGACGCATGAATTCTTCTGCATGCTAACAAAACCATCGATCAGTTGACATTGCCGCTGCACATTTCACAACAACAGGCTGCTGTCACACACTCACGCATACGCACACCGATGAACCGACTTTTCTTTCACGACGAGGTACATCAGCTTCAGCATCAGCCCCCATATCACGCAGCACATCACTACCCCCACACACCACCGGTCCTGAAGGAAAGACCGCTCATCCCCGAGAGATGCTGCTGCTGGTGCTGCTGCTATCACTCAAAGTTGCTGGGTTTCCAGTGTGTTCATATCTGAAACAAAATCGCCTCAAAGGCAAGAAAGACCTTAAATAGGAACTAGCTGGTCGTCATTGTCTACAAACATGAGTGAGCAGCCAGGACATGTGAGGGTAACATTCTCGCCCACCTTACTTAGTTCGAAGGCGTTCGGAGAATAGAGCGTCCACCGCACTGCTTCTGCCAGTAACCTGCACAAAAAATGGCATACAGAGGTATTATCCCCCCTCCCCAACATACGCACGCACGCCACCGTTTCTAGTTCAATCGTTACAACTCATGACAGATCACTGTACGAGCATGGACAAAACTGCAGATTATATTGCTCTAGTATTTGAAATTACTAAACATTTACTGGGCAGAATGATACCAATAATTCCATGCTGCACTATACCTACATTGCATTGATATCACCATAACACCAATACACAAAAACAATACAAACTACAAGAACTACTGCTTTAACTTTTTTATCACAAATTAGCATTAGGCCAAAACAAAATATGTGTGGTTACCGTTACATGCCGAAAAAAAATAGGGTAGGTAGGTAGGGAAAACATTTTATTTTCTTGAAATGTTTTATTTACGAACCATGTCCGAAGAATGTGCTTTTGAAATGTGCAAGAATGTCTTTTGAAGCAGGAACTGTCCAATTCATATTTTTTATTTTTTTTTACTTTAAAGAAAATTGACAATTAAAATGTTTAGGGTCGCTGGGAATAAATAGGGTCGGTCGGGAAACCATAACCACACCTATATTTTGTTTTGGCCTTACTGTAAGAGTGGGTGATGGTGCCTACATTATTTTACACAAGTTTCAATACAAGTGGTACTCCTCTGATTTGTCTGCATTTAAATATTAATAGTGCATTATGTTTATGACATACTAAAAATTAGTTCAAGAAGAATATCAGTGTCTTTTGTAGTTTCATCTATTTCCACAGCACCATCATCAGCTGATCCATGCTAACCTTAAATTTAATCGGGTTTTACACAAATATACAATACGTATAATGACAGAGTCCAGTACACACATGCATTATTATATAAACGTTCAACAATATCTATAAAGATAAAATATAAAGAACTAACATCACCAGACATATCCTTGGCTAACCTCTTCATGGCACAGCTACCTGTAAAAACAGAAAAAAATAGAGCAGAACTGTAAGCAATTCATAACTAGGTAAGTGGCTACTAGTGTGTTAAACTTATACAAACACTTACTACACAAGATCTTGCATAATATTATACCAATGTAATTCAAATATCTGAAGCATAAGCTTTGCAAAAGAGACATTTCCCACTACGCATCAAAGGCAAGTATGGAAAACAAATGATTACAAATAATTTTAGAATAAGTTTCCAAGATATAACCAATATTCTAAGATAAGTAATGAAGGGAACACTGCAAATCTTAAATCACAGTAGATGTGCTGTAATACTCTGCATCAATACTAAGGCGCAGATACACTTTTCAAATGTACAATTGAACGCCCTCTATCCCCGACATTTCTCTATACCGACACCTTTGCCGACACCAAGAGATAGGGGGCGCTCTTTTAGGCACCATTACATGAGCATACCGAACTCTTCTTTCTTATTCTAGGCAGAATCAGATCATTCTGGCACTATCACAATTCTCAGCAATGGAACTGCTCACTCATGCTTCTGGCTTGAAAAAAGAAAAGCAATGTGTTAACATATATACACAAAAGCCAATGTTATCGATTATTCAACATAAACCTGATGACAAAGCAGAATTTTTAAGGTAATGAATGACACATCAATTAATTGAACTGCGTGAAGATGTTAAAAGCACAGTAAATACTACTATATGAAGATAATAGATCTTAAAAACACATACTACAAAATTAAATAGAAGAAAACTGGCAAGTATACACGTTTATATTAATAACAGATTTACAGTAATAAACTTGTACTTCTTGTGGATCACCTGCATTAGAAACAGTTAAACAACATTCTCAGCTCAATTATTTCACTCAGTATCTTAACAAACATCCACAATCTACAGCAAAACATGCAGCAGTGTGTCACACCAGTTTCATTGCTTGAAGTACAACAACGGCTCCCATTTATAGTAAAACAAACAATACAGAAAGAACACATGATCAGGCTCGCTACAATACCGCAACGGTACGCTTACTCATGTGACTTTCTGGATCAATTCTGGCTCTACAGAAAAAAGCTGAATGTTTTGCTGTTTATAACTGAATTGCCTGAAAACTAAGAGTAAAGTAAATTGAGTAAACACACAAACACCCCTTACCAAAGTACCTTGGGCCGCTGGCAGTCACAACTCAGCAATGCGGGCGACTGGAAAGAAAATGTGAAACATGTCATCTTTTTCAAATCTATTACAATTTTATAGTTCATGCATAGAAAATCTCTTAAAGCATCCACTTGTATTTATTTTATTATTCAAAGGTTTAAGCAACAAGTTATGAATGATTGTAGTAAACATTTTCCAAACATAAAATTATTACAGGCACTTTAGATTTTTACACGTTTAACACTGGCAAAGTACTCGTACTTTAGTTTATATACATAGCAAGCAAAATTTGAAAGGCCATGTTACAATTACTATTCCTATACAACGACTTCCTAAAATCCGGTGCAAAGCTTCTAGTAATGCATAATTATGTACACGATTTATACAAAATTCCCAACTGCTAATAAGTTACATGGGAATTCTGCTTGACAAACACGTTTCACAAATCGATTTAATATATGCCATTGCTAAGCATCTTTTAAAAACATAATTTCACTAAATTAATATTGTTGATAACACCACGACATTTTGCGACCAAAATGAGCATAAGGTGAAACTCCAATAGCAAATGATTAAGGCATGGAATCGCATAGACTTGCCTCAATCAGCTAGCTCCTACAGATCTACTAAGCACCATAAGACTAAATCTCACTAAATTTCATCAATCACATGATCACAACAAATATTTACAGCATGAAGATTGCTCACGCGGCATTTATTCGTCGAACACACACTGCTCACCGTGAGCCATCCGCGAACATCTCGGGCAAAACTCGAGTGATACGTTCTTGTTTTCCACATGCAGGCACACACCGCCACCTAGCGCCGCACCCTTCGTATGCTTGGTAGGTTCCCTGGCGTCGCCATGGTGAGCCCTCTTGCGGTTGAAAGAGGTTGTCAAGGAAACGCTGCTGGCATCAATGTTCTTCAGAAGGGTGGAGAGCGTGCTTTCGTTGGCGATGACATTCCGCAGATAGGCGAGCTCTTCTCTTAGCGTACTGCTCTCGTTTCTTTCAATCTCTAGCTCGGTTCTCAACTCGGCGTTTTCCTTCGCCAGTTTCTCCTTGTCACTCTCCAGCTTGTTGATGTGGGCCTTCTTTTTTTCCCGGTTTATTCGGGCCTGTTGCGCATTTCTTTGATTCTTCTCCACGATGGCCTCCGCCTTGTCGTCTTCGCTGCTCGTCGAATGTGCGGGGCTTAAAGTTGGCGAAAAGCTGTCCCTCGTACGCGCACCATAGACGTCACTGGAACATGGTAGCTTTGGGGTTTTCCGTCCTGCACGCTTTCCTGTTTGCTTGGCCGCTGTTATGCAGACTTCTGGGAGTGGGGAGGTGGTACGTGGCGATGCCAGCATCGTTGATTCTGCAGGCATCTGCTGCGCCACACTGCTGCTGCTGCAGCTACCGACGTTTGCCAGCGTGACGTTACATGCTGGGCCGGCATATTCACTGTCAGTTGGGTTGGGATGAAGGACTCCGGACGAGGGGAGCAGTGTCATTTTGTCGGCGACTAATTCGAAATGCATATTATCGACTAATTCTTCAAACCCAGGCAATGCCAATGCGTTATAAATATAACCTTCCATCATGTCACCACACCCCAAAGGTGAACTCTCAGACATAGAAACGGGGCTATAATCCGTTACCTCGCCCAATTTCCCTACCTCAAATTCATCACTGAAAACGGAATCCTGTTGGTACATGTTCTCTGTTGGATGACGGCTTGTCAGAGCTTGCACTTGTATCTGAACATCAGAAATAGGCGTAGTAAGACTACTAAAATCCATTGCTATTGGTCTAGCTGGCGTAGTTCTGTTCTTGCGAATTTAAGATAAAACTAAAACGAAGTCGTTGTTACGACATAGGGTAGAACGTAACGTCGACGTATAATTTACAACTTACCAAATTAGGAATATGCCTCTTATGAAACGTATGATGATCGTCGTTCACACTTCTGCATCAGATTCACAACTAGGCCAACCTGGCCGCGTGAACGGAGGTCGTGTATGAGCAGGTGTTAATTCCAATCCGCTGATTCGCTGATCATCAGTTTATGGGCGTGTCTTACACGCGGGTATCACTCATCGTGATTCATGCGATGAAAACGTTTCGCCGACGTCGAGCCAAATGACAGTTTTCGTAACATTCCGCAAAACATCTTAGACAAAAGCTAGGTCGCATTTATTTCTTGTAGATTTTAGGTGTAACACTTGTTTTGCGAAATATCATGTTTAGCATGAACAAACATTGTAATTTTTGCGCGCAAATAAGATTGTAGAAAACACATAAATCCGAATATGGATAGTATAAAGTAGATCCCGCCGACGATTGCGCGAAAGAGATAGATGGTGATAGATGGAGATAGAAAGAGATAGATACGTGAATATTCATTTAGATAAGCATAAAATTTAATAGTATTTTTTTAACAATGTGATACCGCATTTATATAACGGTATATTTACAAACGACAAAATCATGAAAAAAGTTCCATGTGCATGACCGCGACGATGGACCATGACGCTGGAAAAAACACTAGTACAGCTCTACGGTACACCAGCGCCGTCTAGTGTCGTATATTGTTAAGCTCAGGTTGTAAGTACTCTCTTGGTTTATATTTCCTTCTTCATTAATAATAATAATAATAATATATTACTATTTTAAGATTACAGTGAGCATATTAATACGATTATGGTATTAACATCACGAGTAGGGTAATGCAATTGCTAATGGAGATAACCTCGTTTGCCAAAACATTACGTTAGCTCGGTATCCATCTTGGAGTCAATAAATGCCACCTCACCACATTTATCGTCACTCGACCTGCTATCGGGTTCATAGTCGTAGGTGTCACTCTTTTTGCATCAGAGTTCTGTCGATATACATCTCTTCTCGTGAGCGTACGTTAAGGTTTGTGCCAGGTTGGTGAAGTAACTAGGCAGTGTGTAATGTTTAAAAGTGCACTTTAATCATGTTAATGGAAATTATGACCACATTGCATAGCAGCATATAGCAAAGTACACTCACTTGGCTAATCCACTCACTTACTCGGCGTAGTTCTGTATTTCAGTTCAACACTAAGTACATGTCGTATGAAGCCTTGTTCAGTTTTATAGAAATGCACTGGCATTGTTACAAAATGTACTTTTATTTCAGAAATCACTGACTACAATGGACCAAGTTCAAGCATTTGTTGACCCAGCAAAGCAATTTATAAAAGATTCCGTACGTCTTGTAAAGCGCTGCACAAAGCCAGATAGAAAAGGTGCGTACTCACTGATACTTTAAAATACAGATATACAGACATTAACTGTTTATAGAAGATGCTGAAGTCATTCTACACGTGCATTGTTTTGCTATTAGTATTATCAAAATGCAATAGAAATGGATCAGGACTATTTCCAGATCTCCTATACTTTTATTATGGCAAAAATCGGAACTGGTAATGGTATAACTCTAACAATACCCATAAAACTAACTCTAACCCAAATCCTACTCTTTTTAAATACAAAATATAAAATTTAATATGGCACACACATTGATATCGGATCTAGATCTGTTTCAACATTTTGGTCAGACACTGTCAACTAAGATTTATTGTTGTAAAGTAATTTGAACCTGTAGCTACTAGCTACTCTGTATTGATAAAAACGTACATCCAAAATTCCAAGTTCTAAGGTGTATATCACTGTTGTTACCCATGTAAAACACGAGGCCAAATAAATCAAATTAACAGCAAAATATATTTATTTATAATGATTTTGCAATACCTACTAAGGCGAGAATTTTTTATTTTGTTGGTTTACAGATCTGCCGACCCGAATTTTCAAGAAAAACGAAAAAAAAAAATTGTATTTTTTTTTATTCCTGCCAACCTTTTCTCTAAGAAATATGAATTAAAAAAATGTAAACTTGCACAAACAGTTTATAATAAAAGTACAAATAATTACAAGTTGAGTTTTGTTTTCATTTAGTTTTCTTAAAATACTTTAATATTATCAGGGATGAGATTCTTCCGCGGAAATCCGCGGATTTGACAGTCCCAGGGGTCGATTTTGTGAAACGTCTAAATTCGTTGAGAAAATTGGGAGGGGGGTAACAATGTAACAATTTAAATTATATACCCTCAACAGCACCTGACTGTAGACTGTAGTGTAGACAGTAGGCTGACAGCGAATCCTTCAGTGTATCGTTTTTGGCCCGGTACCAGAAAACAGAAAATCGCCTCTGTTCACAGCGTTGCCCCAGTTCGAGGGGGCACGCAGACACTGGTGAGGGTAGCTGATCACGTAACGACCATGCCTGGCCTGGGTGCGGGTTTACATGTTGCTGCCGTGGATGTTGTGTGCATGACTATGCACTGATTGTTCCATTCGCATTGTGTTTTTTTCATTCAATCTCCTCGCAGCAAGGCAGCTTTGTCTGAGTAAAACAATGCAAGCGACGGGTGGAAACAGAAAAGTCTTATGTCTAGACATTTAATTAAAAAAATTGCCCTATTTTCAGCCCCCTGATTTCCTATTCATAGTTCGTTTGTTCCTTTTGACAACTTGAAAACGGGATTCAAGAGTCTCCTATAATGTGTTCAGAATAGCTTAGAATGCACCAAATTGCACCATTCTTTAAAAAAAATTCCGGGGCAGCATGCCCCTGGACCCCCCTAGCATGGCAATGACCTACGGTCCTCGCATTGCTCGCTCCTCTGTTGGCTAATTAAAATTTCAGCTGAAAATTAAATTATCCAATCTCATCCCTGTATTATGTATAACAGTATCACTGTATTTTGACTTGTTTGATCTGATTTTTTTTGGGGGGATTACCCTACCGATTCAACAACAACAACAAAAATTCTGTAAACCAACAAAACAAAAAAAGGTGGCCTAACCTAATAATTATTATATTTATCATTTAACACTATTAGTCAACTTCAGTGAAATCCAACACTGATTATATATCCAACACTTGTAAAATTGATGCAGGAGTGGCTGATATGAAGACAGTCAGTTCCCCTTCTAGCCCCTAATACTTTTTATGAAACATCTATTGTGATTTTTATGTGACTATGTAAAGTGTAAATGAATATATACTTGAGCTTAAATTAATTTTATTTTACAGAGTTCCAGAAAATTGCCATGGCAACAGCAATTGGATTTGGAATTATGGGTTTCATTGGTTTCTTTGTCAAGCTTATACACATTCCAATCAACAACATCATTGTGTAAGTGTCAATTGTTATTAATGTCAACCTGTTCATTGCTTTTTGAGCATTATCAAACGTAGTTAAAGAACCGTGTTGATGTTTAGCATTTTTGAAGCTCTATTTAACGTTTCTCAGTGCTGCTTTCTGTCACCTATGCTTTGGTACGTGTTTGTAGTAAAAAGGATAGCTAAGAATTATACCTTTCAAACGTGAACATGGGTTTTGTTGCTTTTCCCAGCGGATCGTAACAAGTGCAATCATGGAGTGAGCGATCCCTGGTCCTGCTTGGACACATCGCACGCCGAAATGTGGTGACGGTGGCTGTTTCGACAACTGAACTTAACCCTGGGTTGATAACAGCACTCACGAGGGTGGGCCGTTTCGTGCACATTTTCTTTCCCTCGCACACTGGGGATAGAACATCTGCAGACAAACACGAGAGAAAATCCACCTGCACCTGTCCCCCATCCCTTTATTGATTTGTGATTAGAAGTGTCTGTTAGCTCAAATTCGATTCTGCAGCATAAACTGCGAACATTGTTTCGAGTTGCCTAAAAGCCCACCCCTTTGAACTTTTTACACGAACACACCTTCAAATAGATCGACTGTCTTGGCACCGGCGCACGGCAAATCTACACCGGCAGCATGTCGAGGGCTACCAAGCGCAAGCACGTTGTGCAGGAAGTGTTAAACGACTATATATTGCCATCTGCAGAACAGTTTATTGTACAAGTTGTGGCTTCGAAGGGGAACAATCTACACGAAGTCGTCACGGACTCCGGCGATCAGTTCCTCGTGACAATGCCAAGCAAATTTCGCAAGAACGTCTGGATCAAACGTAGCGACTTCTTGCTGGTTGAGCCGATTGAGGAAGGTGACAAGGTCAAAGCCGAAATCATTAGCATCCTCTACAAGAACCAAGTGAAGTACATCAAAGAGGAAGGCAAGTGGCCACCTGGCTTCAGCGATGTTAAGAAGGAGAAGAATGACGGGGCCAACAACAACGACGGTGAAGCCAGGAATACGGAGGACGAGGAAGATAGCGATAGTGACCTATTTGTCAACACAAACAGGCATGCTGTTGCTTACGAGGAGTCTGATGATGACACTGATGATGACGATGAAGATGTGGATGATGAATTAGTGTAGGCTAACAACAACCCGTGTTAAAGCTTTTTTTCATGTGTTAAATAAATAAATTTGTCTAGCTTTTCTCAATAATTGGCTACCCTTAAATTATACGTTGTGCAAATTTCGCTGACACCGATACCAAATTACGCAAATCATTCAATTTGGCAGGTTTCTTGGTTTTCTTGTTATTTTCTGTTGCTATCCAAATCTATCCACCTCAGTTGTAATAGCCTCTGTAACATTCATTTACTGCACATCATGCTTTGCTTGTAAGTTGTTTTTTATCGGTGTTGGTGTTTCGGTATTATTTGCAATATTCTTCATATAATGTTACTTTGGTAACAGATGAACGTGTGTGCTCATTTGCAGCAGATATGAAATTGAAACAGATTTTTTTAAATAAAATTCAATTATTATTAATAGCGTGTTGTTATTTTTATACAGCATGTTTTTTATTTTATATAAGAAATTCTGATAGATTTGAACAAAACATCAAATTGACCATACTGTATTGCAGTTATGACTGCACGGTATTGAGTTGTTGACTTGCCTCAAGCGAGCTGTTGATTATTTTCGTGGTGGCATTGCTGACCTTCAGGTTGTCCACGACCTTGAACCTGCCATCATCAAACGTCACTGGGAATGAAAAGACGAGGCTGTCTGGGACGCCATACCAACCTGTCAACATTAAATCCCATTGCAATCTTCGTCAGTGGCCGTTGGTCAGAAAAATATGGGTATGCTACATACATATATATCTGTGAACTTTCCACTTGTAACCCCGAGTTCTTCTGAAATGGAGGTCTTTGCATATAACAGTAAAGATCGACATGTACAATACATTCAAGGACGCTGACACATTTAGCAAGACTACATTGATTAGCGATAAAACAAAATTTACGAGATGGGTAAATATTTAAATACCTTGCGATACAACTGCTAGCGAATGAATTTGGTCTGTTGAGTCGCCATTCCACCACAAGCTCAAAGTGTCAACAATAGCAGAAGCTGCACTTAGTGATCCTCCCCCAACTCTAGACGTTTGCATAGTCTATCAAAAAATATGGCAGAAAGAAGATGACACAAGACCAATGTATCATTGCCCCTCCTTTAAAGCAAGTGTTATGAGTGACGTCAGTGATGCCTTCTATTTTTAAACCAAACCCCTGCTTATATATATAGGACTCTAATTTTAATTAATGTATTGAATTTTAATCTTAATATATATACACACACTCACATGCACATACGCATGTCTGTTTTTCTAAGAGCAAGGTAATTCCATGTTTTTCTAAGAGCAAGGCATCTCAATGTAATACCTTACGTCTGTCAACGATCTGTTGCTGCAAGTCTTCTTCCAGCCACTTTGCATCATAAATCACCTCGGCAACTGGGCGGGTGAAACCCCCGGGGCCGCAGATAGCAGAGTCGAGGCGCGAGACGCGCGCCAGTGACACGTCGATGTGAAAATTGCCGTTGGGATTGCCCCAGGCGATGACGCCGGCAACGTCGCATGGTAAAACGCCCAGCTTCTCTGCCAGAATCGACCTCGCTTGCCCTACAATGCTCAGCGACACGGCAGCTAGATTCTCCTTCAGACGTCCCTTCGTGCTCCTGTGCAGCACCGTCGCAGCAGCATTCCCTGCCCAGCTGTCGGAAACAAGGACCTTGGCGCCCTCTGCGCAGGCTTCGTGGATCGCATTGGCATATGTCTCGTACACAGATGCGTCGTGCGTGCCTTCATCCAGCAGCAATATAACGTCGCACTTTTTGAAAGCTGCGACGGGATCGCGAGTCGTAAACACATGTTTGACATTTGACGAAGCCAGGTCCTGCACGTCAGCTTCGAGGGTTAGCATCGTTTCGTCGGTAACGTCTCGCACGTCCAATAGATGGAGGCACAGGTCGGCATCCTTTCCAAGTATGTCCCTCGACGCCAATTGCTGAATTACGTGACACGCCACGTGCGATGTGGCGCTACTGATACACACGTGGAGCGGGTTATACTGTTGAAGTAGCCTAGCCTTGGCCTCATCATCCTGGAGCTGGGTCTTCAGGTTTTCTTCAGCAACTTGCTGCATATCGACTAAAAAATATCAAAGATGAATGAAGGTGCCTAAAGAACTGCATGTATACTGTTGTAGTTCATTTTATTTTACTCAAAAATATTTTTTACCCCATTTAAGAAGTTCATTCGGTTGGTAGACTAATAGATCGCAGGAGGCGAAACGTTAAGCGGTACGTTTCCAATCTTCACGGTTGTGTAACAATAAACCCAGTTAGATCCGTTTTTTACCGTTTTGGTGCTTTGGTTTATGTAGCAGGCTTCGGCCAGTAGTTATTTTTTTTTAATGTAGGTGGCGTTGTTAGCTTTACACCATGCTCTAAACCAATTTCCACAGACAGTATGAATTCCAAAAAAAATCAAGATAGAGTGCACTACTTCACTACTCAAAACTACATGCTACACATACTACCATTCAATACCAATTTCTATTTATAACTCGATATGTATGCACGTGTAGCTTGAACCAGAAGGCACATGTGCATGTGAAAAATGGTGTTTTATTCTTTACCTGTTGACATGCTGCTTTTGATATTGTAATAGCCATTGATGTATTCCTGGAACTCATTGGCTCCACCCATGTAATGGCCCTTTCCACCTCGGTCAACTAGTTCACGCCACACAAGTGGCGATTTTTTATGTGTCCAGTTATTCTTTTGACATGTCTCGGCCAACCATAACTGCAAATAAGTTGTAAATCATTTGTTTTAGATTTAAGCAATCAAACCTGCATATAATGGCCACTCAAGCCATGTGACCTTTATGGACAGGTGACTGCTCTGGTCGCAATCACAGGGTTGGCTGTTTAAACAATGATTGAGAAAAGCATCCTTGTATAAGATCTAGCTCTCTTTACACTAGCTCTGCACATCTTTGAGAATAACGCAAATAATAGAAATAATAGGTTTTGCAATACATGACCGTTTCTTCTACCCATATTTACACGTACTGCAGTTCGTCCTTCAAACTTGCTACTCTTGCTAGACAAATAATGCAACTAGAAAAATATTTAACTCTATTAGCACCTATAAAAAAGCCGAGTCAAATGAAGCCTGTACCAAGGTTATCAAAAGCCAAACCACTAGGCAATATACTAATTATTATAATAACAAGTGCCGCAGAGCGACAGCGCTCAACTGACGTGTGCTGTAGCCGGCTATTCTTCTGATAAACTCACTGGCAACCGAATCAAGTGCGCCCTCCCACCACCGCGTTGATAGGCTTTGCTATACCGGTAGTACAATAAAGATATAGCTGTGTAGCTTTAATGACTTTGCTATATTAACGTTATCATGGATATGCGTCGAGCGCGAGCGTAGTGGTGGTGGTGGGGGAGGGTGGGGGAAGGGTGGGGGGAGGGGCAGGTAAAGGGTGCTCTAATAGCAAAAGCAGTTCAGTCCTTTGTTTACAGTCAACAAATCCATGTTTAACCCTCCTCTTGGGGGTCAAAAGGTTATCAGACACTTACTCTTCGCACGTCAGTGGAAAGCACATTTCATGGTTCTTTCAATAAAGCCATAAAAATGGTAGGTCACCGCTGAAGGAAAAAGTTTTTCAATCGCCCCATCAGACCATGTCCTCAGAAAATGTCTAAAATCTGCACTGTGCCCCATTGACCTTTAACCTGTGACCTCCAATTTCGGCACAGTGATGGCTTTTCCTACCATGATGCTATACACCGACTATCACGAGCCTAGGTCGAGCCGTTTAGATTTGTGCCGCAATTCTGCATTTCCTCCCTATACCTTAAGTTAAGGAGAGAATGTTCCCTTCTTTTACACCTCTTGACCTTTGACCCCCAGCTTCGACATCCAACTCGTTTTTGGCTTACCCCCCCACGCCCCCAATATTGTGACCGTACGTCGAGCGGTTAAGATTTGTGCCCAACTGTTGACGGACGGACGGACGGACAGAAGGACGGACGGACGGACGGACGGACAATCATGCGATTCTACAAGCTGCATCTGACTATGTCAGATGAGCTAAAAATCAATCAATATACTACTATATCAAGTAATGATAATAGGTACAATACTGCACACAGTGCAGACAATTAATGAATTATTCTTACCTCCCAATCTTTAGGGTGTATTATCACTTTGTGAACATTAAAATTTGGTAATTTTGCAACAAGTTCATCAGCTAGTAACTCAATCCTCGCAAAGTAGGGACAATCAGCAGATCCTAAAAGTGAAAGGAAAATAAATTACAATTGGTTTATATCATTGATCACGATCGATTACATGCATCAGAAGATACATAATATCGTTGAATTTTATAAGTAATAACAGACAATACATAAGGCAAAAAAGTGCAGATGGTGTAGTGATGCTTGGAAACGTATATAAATAGATTATTATTGATATACTTGCTCGTAACCTCGTAATAATTATTCTTCAAACTCAAAGTCTAACTCTAGTCCAAGGCACGTTTATTAGATACCAAAAATAATTTGATCAAATAGATATAGATCAACACTGCTGATTGCAGTAGATAAAGTTTTCATTGTAGAGTTAAACAAAGAAGAAGGAGGAAAATTCCAATATGAAATGACAGAAACAAAGAAACTAAACTTGAAGGGATCTTCTGAAGACGATACATGTCGAAAGCAATAATGAGGCTCGGATGATCCACAGGCACTTGGAACGTCTCAATAAAAAGAATTATGGTAAATAAACACGAAATGTATTTACTGCCACTGTACCAGTCTTAATGTTTCTCTACTCTCTTTCGCCTATTATTGCCAATAATTTCCTGTAAATGCCAGTCAACTGCTCCTCTGCAACACACAACTGTCACAAGTACACTGCACGCACAGTCACTGCTGTGCACAAGCAACAACAATAAAGAGACAAGAACAATTATACAAGAACAAACTCTATATATTCTTGTTATTTCAGCATTTGTGCACAGCGGCGTGCGTGCGCCGGTGCGGTCACTGTAGGCCTACTTGTGTATTGCAGAGGAGCATTAATTGCACAGCATTTATCGGCAATGATAAATAGGCGAAAGAGAGTAGAGAAACATTAAAACTTTGGTAGTAAATACATTTCATGTTTATTTACCATTATTTTACTATTGATACGTTCCAAGTGCCTGGGGCCGGGCAATGAATGCCAGAAGAATGGGCAACAGTGAGTCACTGTCTCAAAATGCTAAGAATAGATTGTAACATAATTATTTGATATCTCCTGCTTAGTTATTATGAGCTATAAATACAGACTACAGTATCATGTACTTATAGAAATGTAATACTAATAGTTATCATATTGTAAAAATGCTACAAAGTTCAACTTGTGCTATTTTCCTCAAATTCGTCACTTTTACTTTTAGGTCACGTGACTATACTATCGCTACTGTCAGTGCCAGGCAGTGGCAGTGGCAGTGCGGTGTGTGCAGTGTGGCACTGG